CACTAATGGTGCGTTCGCTTTCTCCTTGGAACTCCAAAATTCCGACTAGAAGAACATGAACTCGCTCTAAAGTTTGGATTCACTTTACTAAATGCGACGGGTGATTGGGTGAAGATGAAACCAGTGACAACGATTTAAGTGTGAGGCATCATCGTTTAAATCTGCTCCAGCAGTTAAATAAACTGTTTAAGATAACGTAGCTTGATATGTTAGCTTCCTATGCCACCATTGTTATCATCTAATGGTGCGTTCGCTTTCTCCTCGGAAATTCTAACTTCCCAGTAGGAAAAATCAATTGAAAAAGGACGGTAAAAGGAATGAAGATGCACAGTAAATTTAGTTCACAGTAAAGATGTTTGCTTCAGTTTAATTATCAGCTTATAAAACTACAAGGACGATGTTAAAATACAAAGAGTTGTATGTTATTTATCGTGATATTGATCAAATATGGTTATAAATTGAGAAAAATATATATCTAATTATATGAGAATTAAAATATTAAACACTCAAAAGTATCGAAAATTGGTACTGTTAAGTACCGGTATCGATTTGTAGGTACCGGGAATTAGTACCGGATCGATTCAAATGTCAAAGATACCCATCCCTATATATATAAATATATACACACAAGTGCTGTTTATTCTTAGCTGTCCGCAGTGCTATGCAGCAGAACCGCCAAAGTCAGGTTGCTGCTTCAAGTCTGCTCCATGCAGTGTGCAGGAATATGGCAAACCACTGTAGCATTTAATTTGCAACCATGTCTATTTTCAAAAATTATTTAAAACAAATAATTGCTAACCTGTACATAATAGATATGTCACCGTTCCAATTTAGTAGTAGAAATTAAATGTTTAAGCATTTCCAGTACCACTGAATATCTTAGCCCATTTGCATATCTGTGTTCAAATGCTTGCAGAATTGAAATTACATAATTTATTTATTTTTTGCATATTAAACCGGAGGATTTACACTAATATCTCACACGCTAAACATGTCCCAGAGCGTTGTGCTTTTTTGCAATAATACATTTAGACAAACACATCCTACACACATCACACACCTACTACAAACTCCCAACACACTCACACCATTACAAAAGTTTAGACATATCATGGACCTACCAAATGGTGCATCCTCCCTCCTCGAAGCAGTTGACGCCATTACAGCGCTGGGTGATTAAGTTTCAGTTTCTGTTTCCTCACATATATATTAATGCAATAATCTTTATTATTGTTATTATTATTAGTGAGAGATTAGGAAAACTTTATACTCCTGAAAAATAAGCTACAAATAGTGTATTTAAATGAGTGTATCTCAGAAACTAACTTATAAAAGCACTTCAAATAAATGTGTTGTTGTTTGAAAGGATTGTGTGCAACTTTTTGCCATTGACAATTTTGAGGGATAAAGGTTTGTCATTTCTGTATAACGAAAAATATGTGTAAAAACAAAAAAACGATTTTCAATTTGTTTATGGATAATAGCATTTTTAGTAAAATATTTAGTTGCTATGAACATTTTACATTTATATTATTAAAATTTAGAATGTAAGGTTGTATTGATGTATACCAAGTCGAAATACTCCAAAAAAATGCATGTAAAATGTAAATATAAGTTCTGGCGAACTCTGGCAGGTCTTAAGGATTAATGAAATACATTAAATTCTACTGATCATAGTTTAACTGTGGATATATTTATATATGTTCTTTTGATTAAGATTAGTAATATTAATGATCAATGATAAATGACCCACACTTTTACAGCGCTTCTCATTGTAAGGACTCCAAAGCGCTTTACACTACAGTGTATCATTCATTCATTCACACATACATTCACACACTGATGGTGATGAGCTACGATGTAGCCATGTAGCTGCCCTGGGGCGCACCGACGGAGGCGAGGCGCCCGAGCACAGGTGCCACCGGTCCCTCCGACCACCACCAGCAGGCAAAGTGGGTTAAGTGTCTTGCCCAAGAACACAACAGCAGAATTCTCTGTCCGGAGCCAGGATCGAACCTGCAACCTTCCGATTACTGGACAATCCGCTCAACCTGTTGAGAGCTACTGCTGCCCGCTCAACCTGCTACTGCTGCTTAGTACCACTGGTGGGAAGTCAGGGCCAGCAAAGCCTTCTCTGCTGGCCTAAACTTACTCAAAAAAGTAAATGTATTTTTTCCTTTGGTAAATATTTTTAAATCAAAAAATTTTCACTGGCCTATTTTCTTTATATCCTATTATACCCACTTGGTTGCACTGCTCCCAGTGTTAAAATACCAAGGTTCGGTGTTATCCAATAAGATTTCAGCTAGCTTGCGTTTTCAGGTAGATTAAGTCTGCCCTAGGTCTTCAGAATCAACCGAGCAGTCCGCTCAAAGTGTACGTGAACAGAGACAATCCAGTTGCAATAGCCAATCAGCTCACGAGTCAGCGTGGTCCACGCAAAAGCTGACATGAACGCATCCTGTGATTGGATAAGCAGTAGTTTGAACTTGTCTAGCGCCATTAAGCAAAATATCAAAACTAAACACAGAGATTTGTATCTATAGACAGCTATCGTGTATTTTTTGAACACATGATGGCTGAAAGAGGAGAAAGGACAGACTTGGTTGCAGATTTACTTGCCACACCATTTTCAAGATGAACCTTTCAAGAAAAAAATGGATCTTGTGAGAACAGGTCGTCCCGACCCCAATGCTAGCTGGCTTGTCACAGCAGGGGAAAGGATTTGTTCGACTTTTTTAGGCAAGCAACTATGAATGGTCATGTTTTTGGGTAAACAGGAACTTTCATTTAGGAGACACGATGAAACCCCCCAGTCATTAAACAGAGGTAATTATGTGGAGCTTTTATCTTTTCTTGCTGAGCATGATGCAGACTTGCATTACCACCTGACCACAAACAGGGTCTTTACTGGGATATCAGGCAGAATACAAAACAACCTCATTTATGCTATTGCTGAAGTGATGGGAGATGAGATCAAAATGGAGATCAGAAGAGCCCCTATTGTTACCATCATGGTTGATGAAACCAATGACGCTCGCACTCGTCCTGCGCTATGAGACAGCCACAAGTATCCAGGAGCATTTTGTCAAATTTGTGGATGTAACTAGTGGCAGGCGAGCTGATGACCTTGCCGCACTTATTTTCCGTTTTCTTGAGGAATATGAACGCTGTTTGGACAAAGGTGTTACAGTGTTACGATGGCGCAGCGGTGATGGCATCTGGACTAAATGGGTGCAAGCTAAAGTTAAGGAAAAGGCACCTATGGCCTTATTCATTCACTGTTATGCACATCATCTTAATTTAGTGCTGACTCAAGGGGCCTCAAAGCTTAAAGAGTGCAAGGTCTTTTGTGCCAATCTGAATGGCCTTGCTGCATTTTTCTCCAGATCCCAGAAGCGCACACACCTGTTCAACTTCTCCTTAATGCAATTACCTAATCAATCAATCACATGGCAGTTGCTTCAATGCATTTAGGGGTGTGGTCCTGGTCAAGACAATCTCTTGAACTCCAAACCAAATGTCAGAATGGGAAAGAATGGTGATTTAAGCTATTTTGAGCATGGCATGGTTGTTGGTGCCAGACGGGCCGGTCTGAGTATTTCACAATCTGCTTAGTTACTAAGATGTCCACGCACAACCATTTCTAGGGTTTACAAAGAATGGTGCGAAAAGGGAAAACATCCAGTATGCGGCAGTACTGTGGGCGAAAATACCTTGTTGATGCTAGAGGTCAGGGGAGAATGGGCTGACTGATTCAAACTGATAAAAGAACACATTTGAAATAACCACTAGTTACAACCGAGGAATGCAGCAAAGCATTTGTGAAGTCGTAACACGCACAACCATGAGGCGGGTGGGCTACAACAGAGGAAGACCCCACCCTAACTCAATATAGGCCATTTTAGTGGATGTTATTGTTCCTTTATGCCCAGATCATATCTGTAGAACTCATAACTTCACAGGAAATTTTTGGCCAAGCTGTGTGATCGGTTTCAGTAATAAACATTCTTGGAATTCGTGATGGGAAGCATAAAACTTGATCGGAGCATCCCTAGATATGGCTTTTCACATGTATGTACATTTTATTTATATAGCACTCATCACAGACAGAAAATCACATGGGGTTTCACATAGATCAAAACAAATCATTAAGTCATAAAATCATACTGATCTTAAAACTGAAATAAAAATCTAAGTCACATATTTATAAAATACCATTAAACAAATGAAAGATGATTACAAATTTGAGTTAAAAATAAGAAAATACAATATTTAGAAATAGCAGCTTTAAATGAAAGGGTCTTCTGCTGTTTTTTTTAAAAGTGTCCAGACTGTCAAGGCTAAAATGAGGACCACTCCAATGTCAGGGTGCAACAGTCTGGAAGGAGCCATCACCTGGACTTCTATAATTGGTCTTTGGAACTTCTAGAAGGTTCTAGTTTGTGGACCTGAGGGCTCGGGTTGGAGTATGAGGCTTTAGCAATTCAGTGATATAATGTGAGTTCTCATGTGTGTAGTCAAGTTACCACTGACACTAAAATATTTACCACAAGTTTTACATGGATATGGCTTCTCGCCTGTGTGAGTTCTCATGTGATGAATCAAAGTAGCACTCTGTGAGAAACATTTACTACAACTTTTACATTGAAATGGCTTCTCACCTGTGTGAGTTCTCATGTGTGTAGCTAAGTTACTACTGACACTAAAACATTTACCACAAATTTTACATGAATATGGCTTCTCACCTGTGTGAGTTCTCATGTGTTTAGTCAAGGCACTACTGTCACTAAAACATTTACCACAAGTTTTACATGGATATGGCTTCTCGCCTGTGTGAATTCTCATGTGATGAATCAAAGAAGCACTCTGTGAGAAACATTTACTACAACTTTTACATTGAAATGGCTTCTCACCTGTGTGAGTTCTCATGTGTGTAGTCAAGGTACTACTGACACTAAAACATTTACCACAAGTTTTACATGGATATGGCTTCTTACCTGTGTGAGTTCTCATGTGCCTTTTTTGTTTTTTATCAGCTACACTGTCTCTGTGATCTTTGGATTGGCATATTTTATTACGTGTCAGTTCTTCATTGCTGTTTGATTCTGAGTTTTCTTTCCTGCATCCACCCTGATCTTGGTTCTCAGCTTCTGTAGTACTCTGACACAAGGGTTGGTTCTTGTTTGGTTCTGGTTCACGACAGTCTGTTTCTTCAGAAGGAAAAGGCTCCATGAAGGTAACAACTTCCTGCTTCAGAAGAAACTGCCCTTCATGCTGATGAATAAGGAGTTCTTGTTGTTCCTCTTTCATCAGTGGAGGTTCTGGTTCATTCTGGTCCAAACTGGAGGTCCATTTCTGTTTAGAGAGCTGCTGGTCAATCAGAGCCATCTTGTTTTCCCAGACATGATGCTGTGGAAGTTCTGGACAGGATAAAAGACAAAACAAAATGTAGATTAATGTGAATTAAAAAAATCTCGTGTTTGGACAAAGCTTCTCATTCAATGTGTTTTCTTTATTTTCATGACCATTTACATTGGGCGATTCTAACTGAAGGCATTAAAACTATGAATGTGGAGTTATGTACTTAACCAAAACGGTGAAATAACTGAAAATATGTTTTATATTCTATTTTCTTCAAAATAGTCACCCTTTGCTCTGATTACTGCTTTGCACACTCTTGGCATTCTCTTGATGATCTTCAAGAGGGAGTCACCTGAAATGGTTTTCCAACTGTCTTGAAGAAGTTCCCAGAGGTGTTTAGCACTTGTTGGCCCCTTTGTAAATGGTCATGAAAATAAAGAAAACATATTGAATGAGAAGGTATATATACATATATTAGGGCTGGGACTTTAATGCGTTAATTACGATTAATTAATTAGAACAAAATAACGTGTTAAAAAAATTAACGCATTTAATCGCAGCTTGCATTTCAAGCACGGCGGAACCTTTGTCATTGCACGATTTCCTCGTAGACTGAATATCACTGACGCACACAACAATGGACAGTGCTAATGGCTACTAAAACGGAATAAAAACAGAAAGAAGTTGCCTTGCTTGGACTGAAGCAGGATTTAGGAAACACGTCCGCCTCTTTTCTTAACTTGGAAAAAAAAACTTCCAGACAACAACGGAGTCCGTGTCGTGGAAATTTTTCAAAGATCGTCTCTGCTGCGGCTGCCCGGTGGCACGGGAAACTTGACGAAAGTTGCGGTAAGCTATATTTTTAACATTTACATAACATCTGTGCAGCACTGAAAGCACCAGACAGGGTATCTGCAGGTTTGAGGGAGCCAAATTTAAGACTTTTTAAGACCTTTTTAAGGCCACTTTGACCAAATTTAAGACCTTACATTCAAGACTAAAAAACATAATGTGACGAGTACGACCTTACAAATAGTTCTGGCCAAACATTTATTGGAACTGAAAGTGATGAAAAATAACACAAACATCGAGATAAGAGAATCTGTGCATATATTTTCCAAAAACAAAATGCAGTACTAACAACTCTGAGTTAAATACTGTGAATATCCGTATTTAAATAAACTGAGTTTACATGAACGTGTAAAATGAATACAAGTACCATGTATTGAATACTAAATATAAGTAAATGGTCCTACTCCTTTCTCAGTTATGGAATAGATCTGAGTTCTTCAGTCTTGGTCTTCAGTTCAGTTTCCACCTGTTCTAGATCATACATTTTTTCTCTGTATCTCTTCCTCAGCGTGTTTGACTTTGTGATGAGCTGGGCCATCAAGGTTCCACTCTTCCCTTCAGCATCTTCTGCAAGTTTATCAGCATCTCTATGTAGACTGTTGGACACCTGCAGCAGAATTTGCTTCTTTTTCCTAAGCTCCTCAATGGCTTCTTCTGCAGATTTTCGCTTCTGTGCCTCGCGATCAGTGATTTTCTTCCTCTTTTGCTCATCTAGATGCACTCTGTATCTGGACCTTGCTGATGCAGCCGACGTAGCTCCTTTGACATAGGGACATTGAAGACCCCCCTAGAGACAGTGACATAATCACAGACCAGTCGCTGAGCAATCATTGTGTCTTCCTGCATATTGTAGGTCTCCACCTCTTTGTTTACAGAGAATCCTCTCTCCACTGTTGCTTGTCCATGGGACAGAAGTAGTAGTTTCTTGCTAAACTCCAATAGCTCCTGATAGCATTGGCTCAGGACGCCATTGAGAAATACATCCAGTCTACACTCTGTGGGTCTGTAGGAGAGAAAGGTCTCACTTCTCGCTCCAACTGATAAGACCTCAGTAAACTGCTGGACAATTACATCACCTGCAAAAAAAAAAAAAAAAAACACAGTGATAAAAAATATGACAATGTATTTTGATTGTATAAATTAAAGCTGCAAGCAAGTTTTTGTGAGACTGATTGCACCTTATGTCTGATATATTTAACATGTATCTGCAAAATTTATTAATTAATTTTCTTCATATATTTTTACATAAATAAACTGAACTGCTGTATTCTCTCCTACCAGCAGAGACACCTCCTGATAACTGCTGGTTTTGCAGAAACCTCTGCAGCAGGTTAGTCATGTTTTTCTGGCACCAGTCTGGGTCAGACAGAATACATCCTCCTGGGATCCAAACAGGCAACCTGCCTGACGGGTGGGGGAGTGGGGTACTTTAATGGACTCTTGTCTTGCACTTTCTGAATGATGGTGGACAGCATCTTGATGCAGTCTTTCCTGAACTCCAGGACTGTAAGCTCCCCTATCTTTTTTTTGTTGCTGAAGTTCCTGACAGAATGGAATGTAATAAGACCAAGTTACCCATTGTAACAGCCAACAATATCCATCACTATTGCATTAACCCTCCCACTGTCCTAATGGATGTGACCCCGCAAGGAAAGTTGACCACTGAGCAGGGTTGATGGTTTATCCCTTGAGGTCCACGTGGCAGGGGTGAGGTGGTGCTCACTCCTCACTCCTGCCACGTGGACCTCAAGGGATAAACCGTCAGTCCTGCTCAATGGTCAACTTTCCTCACGGGGTCACCCATAAAGACAGTGGCAGGGTTAAAGGTGGAACATTACCTTAAGAACTGACTCTGCACCCAAACCTAGGGTGACATCTTGCAGGGGGACCCAGTTATTCTTGTGACCAACATCCAGTTTGACCAACTGCAGTGGACTGATATCCTTCAGGATTTATCTCTTGACAAAACGCCTTAGCACACTCTGAGAAAAACAAAAAACAAAATGGGTCAAAATTTTTTTGACAAATCTAAACACAACACAAATATATATATATTTTTTAAATCATATGTGACTATTAATCATTTTCAAATGTAAAACAGTAAAGAGAGGACAGTGTATGCATAAATATGTTGACAAGCATACAGAATTATACACATCAACATAAATTTGCAACATCAAACTGTCTGGTGTTAGGATGTTATTACCTTCATCAACTCTGCCAAGTCTGTGGCCAAGAATGGCATCACTGGTTCATCAGTTTGATATCTTGTCAAGAAAGGAGCGAAAGTCCTGGTAACAGCCATGTAGAAATGTAGCTCTGCAAGGATAAGGGGGTCTTTCTGAGAAGTTTCAAGTGTGTCAAAAGAAGCAGTTCCTGGATTTGGTAGCTTCCTCATTCTGACTGCATCCAGGTACATGGTCAAAGATGCCCACATCTCCAAGGCTCTCTCTGCTACTGGTAAGTTTTCAAGCCATCGGTGGCTACAGAATGCAAGTGGAAACTTTGCAGAAGCTGTCAAAGTTATGAAGTCCTCTCTCCTAGCTGGCACATTATGGAAGAGAACAGGGCTGTGCAGAGACCTTTGAAGGGGCGGGTGCTCAAATTTATAAAAGGGCACACAGAATAATATTTTCAAACACCATGACATAACCACAGTATTCCCGGCTGAATAACAAATCATATTTATTAGAAATTCAAAATGGAAGTGAATCATTATATACACCATAAGGACAATGTAAAGCAAAAGTAACTTGTTTTGGTAAATGGTCTGTATTTGTATAATGCCTTCTTAGGGTTCTACAACCCCCCAAGACACATTACAACACAATCAGTCATTCACACACACACATTAACACACTGATAGTGATGAGCTATGATGTAGCCATAGCTGCTCTGGAGCGCACTGACAGAGGTGAAGCTGCTGAGCACAGGCGCCACCAGTCCCTCCGACCACCACCAGCAGGCAAAGCAGGTTAAGTGTCTTGCCCAAGGACACAACAGCATCAATCTCTGATTGAAGTCAGGATCAAACCTGCAACCTTCTTATTACTGGACAACCTGCTCCACCTCCTGATCTATTGCTGTCCTATTTTACCTGATGATGGGGTACAATGTAGCTGTTGCAGGGTTGCTCCTCTTGCTGCTGCTGGTGATGCTGGAGGGCAAGGCTGTGTTGATCTCAGACTGTAGGTAGTAAAACGATCAGAGGAGAAATGTTAGTCAATTACAAAATTAATGTAAGATAATAAAAAATGGCAAAAATTGGTGAAAACTTGTAGAACTGTAAGACAGAAATATCTGAGACAACACCTGTGGTAAATAAATGGAAATCTAAACATTAGTGGACAATAGAGGAGTTTATGTCAGAGATAAGAATGTGACAGAAATATAAACAGAAAGAGTTGTGTGTGTCTTCAGTCTCCTCATGTGATCTATCACTCTCCACTTGCTGTCCATCTGAGAACAAGGCAAAATTAGCTTGTATGAATGAATTATGTAGTTATTCACATTCAACAGGTCTTGCACCTAATCCATGATCCATGATGAGTTGTGTATATTATTGTTTCTACACTTGTTGCTGTGATGCAACTTACCTGTACTCTTTTTTTATCCAGCTGGTGAGGGACCCACTGCCTTTAGCTGCCTCACATAGCTCTTTCTGTCGCTGCTTCCGCCTCCTCTCCTTACGAGGCATGTCTGTACAATGATATATCATAATTAATTTACAAATACTTTTTCATGCATATAAAACTCATGCATACACATACTGGGACATTTCATTCCTTTTCCAGAAAACTAACTGTATATAATTTGGCCACAAATTTGCTTCATGATGCTGATCCAGAATATGTCCATAATATTTTAATCATAGTGCTTTAGTAATTATAATAAAAATAAAAGAATAAAACAATGTTTATGCTTTCATTCAGTTTTACTATCTACTTTGTGCAAAACAGAGAACTGTACAGATAAAATAATTTTGCTGTGAAAACAGTAGTTTTTTTAAATGTACATCTTTAAAACATAATGTTTTAATACAATGCATTCAAAAAGAGAGCAAATATAAACTCCAAAATTTTGAGAATATGTATAGTATATTAGTGAACTATAAAACCCACCAGAAGTGCTGAGAAACCTTAAAATCTAAAACAAAACTACGTTTCCTAAAACGCTGGACAGAATTTACAGACAAGGACTGAATATTTTGTGACACAAAACTTGTGACGGATGTTACCCTTAGTATTTTTCTTATTTCCTTTCACAAAAGGTGGCAAAATTTTAAATTTGTTCAAGTTTTATTAGTCCGCGAACCAGGAAGTTATTTTGTAAACAAGAAGCAGGGCTGTCACGTGACACGCAGCAGCAAGAGGAATGCAACTTTGCGGTACCTAGTTAACAACAACATTTTATTGGCAAATTCCCAACATTTAAGATTGAAAAAATATTTTCGTACAAGTACTTATGTACAGAATGTTTTTGGTTAATCCTAAAGCTACTGAGGTTCAGAATCGGTACCCAGCCACAGACACACACCCAGCTAGTAATATATTACACACACCTAGTGCCACAAAACAACTTAATAATGTACAAAATAATCTAATAACTGTGTACAGTAGTGTGCATCCTACTTACCGGTGTTAGTCCGTTTCTCCCAATCAATATGTATGTCCTAAAAGCTCTGCACCGCTCCCTCGGCCATGATGGAAACGTGGGCGCTGACCGGCTGTGCGCTCTGGCGTCAGGAAGGGAAGGTGGTCACGTGACTCACGCCAGCTATACAACTTTATTAAACAGAAATTTTATTAATTATTATTTTTGTAATTGTTGAGGGGGCACAAACAGAAAATTCTTACAAATTTTTTTTTATTAAAAAAAATAAATATATAAAAAAATCATTAAACCTCAAAAAGGGCACTTTGGGCACATGGGACAAAAGGGGAGGGTCTCAAGCCCCCCCCCCTCCCCCCCCCCCCCCCCCCCCCCCGCACGTGCCTGGAAGAGAACATGCATGGCTTTCAAAACTTTCTATAGCTGCCACACAGAGAAACCACTTTTGCAGGCATTATGTAGAGTGTGGAGGCCACAGCTCCCAACCACAATCAGCTGTCTCCCCTCATACTGCTCACGCAGTTCTTCTTGAAGCAACTCCAAAAACTTCCAGTTTACATTGGGTCCATCCATGGAGACTGAAAGCAGCTTTTTCAAATCCAGCTGCTGAGAGCATTCCTGAGGAAAGAACTGAGCATTAGGCTAGGCAATGTATCAAAACAAGACAAACTTTGAACTGCTCCACTGAAAAAGTCATATTATTGAATTTTTTTTCAAATAACAAAAATTCTAGTTGAAAAATAAAATGTATTCCCATTTATGGATTACAGCAACACAATTGCAATAATTACCCATAATTTTCTGACAACATTGGCTACATGTGTTTTACTAGTGTTGGCTTGTTACTTACTTTAAAGTGGTGTAGTAAATTCTTAGCTGTTCCATGGCCCATGAACTGTGATCCTAGGTACCTGGACTGGACTCGATCCTCTTTCCAGTAACGAACATGCAGATCCATTTGCTTTGTTTTGGTCATCTGGTTGAGGGTTTCATCAAACATCAAAGTAAAACTGCCTCTGTTGACATCGGCCATAAGGAGTTTGATGATGTGGGGAGCAAAACCAAATTTGACTACATATGCTGTTTTGTCTTTACCACACGTAAAGTTTTTAGCAATTTCTGAGTCGGGAAACATAGCTCTAAATATATCTCCGACTCCCTCATTAGCGCCGTAGGATTGGTGTCTTGTTACGCTGTGCAGGCACCACAGTACCTCTGCCTGAAGAGTTGCAGTGGATCCAAAAATCCCCCTGAGGTCCGATGCTGATGCGGTCGCTGCTGGGTTCGGAGATTCTGAAGCCGGGAAAACCGGTGACACGGTGCAGAACTGAGAAATTGCATTCGTCTGTTCGCGGGTTTTGGCTGTGGCTTTGTGCTTCTCGCTGTGCGTATGCGACTCCACAGCTTTAACTCCCATGGAACCGAGTTTAAAAAGCTTTTTGCACAGAGTACAGCAGGCCTCGCAGTTATTGCCTGGAACTGGAGCTAACCACGTCGCGAACGTGGGATTAGCCATCCAGTTAACATTAAATTTGCACTTCCCCATGGCCCAAAGCTCCCGCTAGCTTAACCAGCTAATATGCTCATCTAAAAATAGCCCCTTTCCACAACCAACTGAATGGCTGTGTCTCAATTCAGGGTCTGCATCCTACGTCGGCCGGATTCGTCTGCCGGTTACGTCACAGAAGCGCGACTAGGCCTGTCCCAATTCGAAGACTCCTTCAAATGCGGTCGACGAATCCGGCCTTCTTTTCGCCTGAATGAAGGATGGGTCCGGTGTATCCTTCAATAGGTAGCATTTCCCAAGATGCCTTGCGGGCCGGCCAGCAGAAAAACTTAAAAACAATGGCGGACAGTGAAGTGGGAGCTGTTGGAGAGGATTGCGCGTATAAATGTAAGTATAAACTTGAAAACTGTTAGGTTAAGGCCTTTTTGTGATACATGAACGTTATTTTAGTTAGAAATGTTACAGTAAAAGTGCTTGTATTGCGGTCTCGGCTCGTATGTTCGGCCGCTCGGTGTTGTACTTCTCCCGCTACGTTTTCCCCCTGATTTTAATAGGAGTTTGTATTTTAGGGACAAAAGAGAAAACCAGGGAATTTATTAAGCTTAGGGCGAAGATGGACCACATGATCACCGGAGCAAAGTATTCGGCGGCTGTGGCATGGAGGTACAATAACATCTCATATTTTAAAAACTCGTTTGAGTTTATTTTTTTCTGCGAAAACATGAAAGGATTAACCCGTTGTCCTCTTTTCTCTTCCTGTTTCTTTTCTTACATGTTTGTTAGACTTTTCTGGAGAAAATGGGCATCCAGGGGAAGGTGACAGTAGGGCTGTAGCGAAGCCTCGACTACGTCGACGGCTCGATTCTAAAAATTTGTCGACGTCAGATCCGGTAGTCGACGCACCGCGCCCACTTGTTGCATCCCCAGGAGTTTGTAAATAGAGGAGGAATCTGCCTGTTTTTCCTCTAGTTCGCCCTCTTCTCCGCCTTCACTAACATCTCCGCCAAATACCGAAGACCCGGAACAATGTCCGTCCACTACTAGATTATTTTCCTGTTTTGCCCGCCTTCGTCTCCCGGCAACGGACAACAACTTCCGGGGTCAGATGCGCTGCTTCGTCTCTATCGCAGATGTAGAAAACCACCGGGAGCGTTTCTCCCTTCATAAAGGAGCTTCTTTCAGACATGAGGAGAGCTGTTTTGGTGGTAGCAGTCTCTCCTCCATGCTGGTCTGTTTGCTGCTGGGTGTTTTGGTTTATTTAAACTTGGTAACTTGAACTTAACGTTGGTAAAGCTACTGTTAGCATCTTCGCTAACAGCTTCTTGCGTTGGGATAAGCTGTTACGTTTTGGTTTAGAGTTCATCTTTTTTGTGGTGTAGATCTCCCTTTTATTACATTTAGAGTGTTGTGGGTTTTCGGTTTAGTGTAAAATATCACCTTGAGTTTGGTTTAACCCGTAAGACCACTCGCCTCACGCACATAAGTGACCAAAACAAAGCAGCGTGGAGACACTCCATCTTCTACCACCTCTCAGGCAGCAGTCTGCACTCCCAAGTTCTACACATCACCAGAACATAACCAACCGCAACACAATAAAAGCAGTGTTATACAAAATGGAAGGCCTGTAGTGTTTATTCTCTTACAGTAACAATTTATCAATTTTTTTGAGGAATTTATTTGAGATTTTCTGGTTTTTGTTAATTGTGCAATAGAAAAATAATCATTAGATTAATTTTCTAAATAGTCATTAGAATAGTCGACTATTCGATAAAATAATCGTCAGAATAATCGTTTTAAAAATAATCGTTTACCCCCAGCCCTAGGTGACAGCAATGAGCAGCTTCTGGAGCTGATCAGGGAGGACATGAGGCTGCAGAGGGAGGCAGAGCAGCGGAGGGCACAGGAGAGAAGGGAGAACTTTGACAGCTTTTTACTTTGCTAGAAAAAAATGGTTAAGAAAGATTAAACATGTACATATAAAAGAAATATCTAAATAAAATCAGTTCTGCATGAAACTCTTGAATTTTATTTTTGTTTACAAATGTGAATTGTTTAATATTACAGGGTATCCGCTGGGTCTTAAAGTCTTAAAAGGCGATAAATCGGTTTTGGTCAAATTAAGACCCTTAGAAAGTATTAAAAACTATTATCACATCTTTGCTCAGGCTCAGCTTGTCGAAAGTATTTTCTCTGAATTAGCTCTCCAACAGTCAAGGAAATGATTAAAGATCTAAATAAAACTTCGAGCTCCATCGTTTAAAGTTCCTTCTCCCTTCTGCTCAGCAGTTCCACGGTTGCTAGGCGACGGAACGTTCGCCGAGGGAGAGGCGGGAATTCATGAAGGCTAGGCCTGTCCAAATTCACAGCCGTTAACATCTGGTCTACCCGGCCGACGGAGGACCCAGCCCACGTCGGCGGGGTGGGCTGGGTCCTTCGAAGGATGCAGACCCTGAATTGAGACACAGCTAGTGTGTACGTTTCCACTAATGTCAATATCACACACAAAAAATGCCGAACACTAACTAGAAATTCACAAACCTTTAGAAATAAAAGAATCTTGTTTATTGGGTCTTTGGTAATTTAAGACCTTTGGAAACTGTATTTAAGGATTATTTGTCATTTTTAAGGACTTTTAAGGCCTTAAATTTGGAAAAGCTAATTTAGGACTTTTTAAGACTTTTTAAGGACCCGCGGGTACCCTGACCAGACAGAATAATTCTGTGCCCTAACAGTAGTTTATGAAAGTAGTCAGACAAACGAGAGGCACCTGGCTGCCGCTGGGAGAACGCTCCGTGTTCTCACTACTCTGATCACAGACATGTCTTAAAGTTGATAACAGAAGTTTAAGTTAAAACAGAAACACTCTGAAACTTTTCTGATGATTTTCTAAACAATTCTGTCGGGGAATTATACGTTTCTGAGACGAGTCACTGTCTAAACATCACATGCATTACTATCATTAAGCAGCGAGGTGTGTTGAAGCTGTCATCAGCTAAGGGGCAGATGCTTAAGTGCATCAGGGACAGCGAGGAACGAGGAAGTTGTGATCAGGCTGGAGATCACCAGATTCGCTGCTGCAGGCCTGAATCTGTGGGTGTGCAGCATCCCCTTCTTAACGTGACAGCAGGACTTCCCATGTAAGGAAGGTCCGCTCACCTGTTCGTCAGCTCATTATTTCCTCGCCATGATCTTTTATCTTCCCAACGTCCTCCAGTAATCCAACTGGAACCAGTTAAGTGTTCCTGATCATTCTCAGAATATGCCATGCCTGCTCTTTGTTAAAAGTTCATTTAAGTCCTAGATCATATTTGTCCCTGTTCTACTGTCAATTTGAAGGATTATTATTTATGTGTTTTTACCACATTATGAGTAGAAATGCTAATAAAAACTCTCAATTATACAAACAAGTGAAACTGGAAAAAATAGAATCTGGTTGTTGAGGGTCTGCCCTCATGAGAAATTGCTACTCAGTATTTTCTCCAAAAGACTGTTATCTGCGCTCTGAAGAGCATATTAAAAGTCAGCGCCAGCTACAACTTCATTTCCCATGATTCCTTGAGCCGGAAGCAATGTGATGACGTCACCGCCGAACCCCGGAAACAAGTTCTGCGCATGTGCGGGAGCCACAGTTTTTCCCGCCGGACAGCAAAAGCTATAAATTCTAGCGAAACGAAACCTAACTCCGTTCTTTTGTCCAGTCCAACTGGCGGTGAAGACACGCTTGTTGCTACGGCTCCGGACTCAGGCACGAGGCCTGGCTGGAAAGCAGCGGAAAACCATCAAATCAGCGCGAACGACAAGGGGGCG